GGGCTCTATGAGGAGAAATGTGGGGTCAAGATTGGTGGACGATTTATCAACAATCTGCGTTATGCGGATGACACACCTCTGCTTGCTGAAACTGAAGAGGACCTGAAGCGCCTGCTGCAGAGCGTCAAGGACTGCAGCCTACAATATGGATTGAAGTTCAACATCAAGAAAATAAAGATTCTCACCACTGGGCCAATTGTCAGCATCAGTAAGAATGGTGAAGAGATTGAGATAGTTAACAGTTTCAGTTTACTTGGCTCCACAATCAGACCTCTTGGTAACAGCAGCCAGGAAATCAAGAGATGGATTGCACTGGGAAAGACAGCTGTCAGGGAGCTCTCAAGAATACTGAAGAGCAATGACGTCAGGCTGGAGACTAAGGTGCGCCTGATCCAGGCTGTAGTCTTTGCAATTACTCAGAGAGTTGGACAGTGAATAGGGATGATAGAAAGAGAATTGATGCCTTTGAGCTGTGGTGCTGGAGAAGAGAATTGAATATACCATGGACTGCTAGGAGAACAAACAGGCTTGTCCTGGAGAAGGTGAAGCCAGACTGTTCCTTGGAGTCAAGGATTCTGAAGCTTCGTCTGCCATACTTTGGGCATGTTGCAAGGAGGGACTGATCCTTGGAGAGGGACATCATGTTTGGCAGAGTGGAAGGACGGCAAAGGAGAGGAAGACCTTCGATGAGATGGATCGAGTCTGTGACTGGAGTGGTGGGAATAAGTGCTTTTGGGATGGCTAGGTTGACACAGGGTAGAACGGCGTTTAGACCTCTTGTACATAGGGTCGCTATGAGTTGCAAACAACTCGATGGCACATAACAACAAGCAAACAACAATATTATTGCCTGGCTTTGGTATTAGGGTTATGCTTGCTTCATATAATGACTCTGGGAGTGTTCCTCCTCCTTCTTTTCCTTTGCCTCTTCTTCCTCCTCTTTTTTCTTCTTCTTTTCCTCCTCCTCCTCCTCCTCCTCCTCATCATCATCCTTCTCCTCCTTCTCCTCCTCCTCCTTCTTCTCCTTCTCCTTCTTCATTTTTTGAAATAGCCTAAGTAAATTGGTTATAGATTATTTTCAGAATGTTTGGTAGAATTCAGCCATGAAGCCATCTGGTTCAACACTTTTGTGTGTGTGTGTGTGGGGGGGAGAATGTTTTTATGACTTGCTTAATTCCTTCATAATGAGTCTGTTCAAGTGTGGTTAGATTGTTGCTTGTTTGAGGTTTTTTTCCTTCTATTTAATGAATGTGTTGAGGTCGATCATTAATTTTGCTTCTTCATTTTTTGTGTTTGCCTCTTGATATGAACTACCTTCTGAGGACTGTCTTAGGGCATCCCAGAGATTTTGTTACGTTGAATTTTCAGTGTTATTTGTCCAAAGGAAATTTTTTGCCTCATTTTTTTATTTCTTCTATAATCTGGTTGTGTTCTAACAGTGTGTTTTTTAACTTCCACATGAGTGGTTTTATAAGCTTTATACTCTTGTAATTTATTTCTAGTTAAATGACTTTGTGGTCTGAGAAGATACTCTGTATTAATTCAATGTTTATTAATTTGTTGAGGCTTATTTTGCATTCTAATATATGATCATTTCTGGAGAATGTAACATGTACACTTAAGAAGAAATTAAACCTAGCTTTAGTTGGGTGTAGAACCCTGAGTATATCTACAAGGACGAGTTGGCAGATAGTATAGTTTAGATCATCTGCATCTTTGTTAAGTTTCTTTTGAGTTGACCTATCCTTTGGTGAGAGTTGTCTGTTAGAGTTTCCTACCACTATTGTGGTGCCATATGTTTTATTTTTCAGTTTTGCCCTATGTTTCTCTTTTTTTAATTGTGAACTTAATGAAAATTTATAGAAAACTTGGGTTTCCATACATTCATTGTTGCAGATATATGTACACCCTTGTTTATTGTTGTGTTGTTCACAATCACAAAGAGATGGAAACAACCCAAGTGCACATCAACAAACTAATGGATAGAGCAGCTTTGGTATAGTCACACAATGGAATACTACACAGCACTGAAAAACAAGAAACTCATGCAAAAGTTTACAAAATGGGTGACCCTGGAAGACGTTATGCTGAGTGAAATATCTCAATCACAAAAGAACAAATACTGAAAAATACCACTGTTATAAAATAGAATTGACATCGTTTTTGGGAGGAACCTAAGAAAAGAGGGGGTAAATAATATACACTGCATTGAAACAGATGAGGGGGGAAAAGTGCTTAAAAGGAATACATGATTAGATATTATTTGCATGACAGCAGTCCAGAATAAGAGCTACATAGTAAAATGGACTGGGATGGGAATTGTACAACAATGAAAGTCTTGTTGTTGTTGTTGTTGTTGTTTGTGTTGCTTCTTTTCCCCCCCAAAGAGAAAAGCAAATGGGGGCAGGGGCAGGGAGGAAAATGAGTTCTCTTTTTTAGACTCAAGAGGAGTCCCACTAACTTTTGGATACTGATCTTACATCCTGTCACCCTACTTAATTGATCCACTAGTTCTTACAGTATTTTTGTGGAGTGCTTGGGATTTTCTATGTGGACTAACATGTCATCTGCATATAGCAATATTTTAACTGTCTCTTTGTTGATCTAGATGTCTTTTATTTCCTTTTCTTGTCCTATTGCCTTAGGAAGTGTTTCTAATACAATACTGGATAGAAGTGGTGACAATGGGCATACTTGTCTGGTCACTGTTTACAAGAAAAATGCTTTTAGTCTTTCTCCACTGAGAATGATATAATTCTTGGTTTGGCTTTTTAAAATAAATTTTCTATAAATAAAATTTTTGTTTTCTACTGGCTTACTATCAAAGTTCATATACTTTGTTTTCCACACCAGATCGTTTCCATTTCCTTTATCACCTTGACCCATCAAATTGTATGACCCTATGATTAACTACTCTCACTTTCACCTCGGCTCATCCTCACCACTCTGTTTCCACCCTTCTCCCCTTGGGTCCTCATACACATTCTACAATAATGGTCTTACACAGTATTTGTCCTTATAGATGAGTTAGTTCACTTAGCATAATGTTCCCCAATTGCTCTCAAGTTAGGTAATGATTTATAAAATCATTACTCCTGGGTGCTGTGTAGTATTCCATCATGTGAATATGCCACACTTTCTCAATCCATTAGATTGTGATTGAACATCTGGACGTTACCATGTTCTTGCTATGGTGAATAACACTGTTATGTGTATTGGTGTATCTGTCTCCATGTGTGCCTCAGTTCTCATTTTCTTGGGGTGTTTCCTAGGAGTGGAACAAATGGGCTATATGGAATTTCTGTGCTCAACTATCTGAGGAAATGACAAACTGCCTTCCAGACTGTATGCACT